GCATGCGGCGGGGGAGCGGCCGAGCTCCTCGCCTGCAAGACACAGCGTGGACGTGTCACGGACACGTCCTGGACGGAGAGAGGCGGCCGAGCCGAGCTTTGCCGACGTCGACCCACGGCACGTCGGCGTCGCCGAGCTGGCGGAGCAGCGCGATGTCCTCGGCCGTCCACTTGCGCGCCGACGTCCTCTTGTGGTGCACCGCCAGCACGCGGTTGCGGATCGCAGACAGCTTGCGCGACGGCTCGCCCCTCGCCTCGCTCTCGCGGTCGTACAGCTCCTTGGTCGAGCTCCAGACGCGGTGGCGTGCGCGGCTCTCCTCGCGCCGCTCCCTGCTGTCGGCGGCCTCCGCCCCCGCCGCCGCCGACGACGAGCCGGTGCGGAAGAAGCGGGCGAGGCGGTCGGCCTCGTCTGCGCCGGGATAGTAGTCGGAGAGCTGTGTCGAAAAGACCCGCCAAACCAGCGCCGCCTCGCTGTCCGACCACTTGCCCTCTCTACAGTCAACGTCGCCCGTGTTGGTCTGGCCGTCATGCCTGCCCGCACGTGGGCCGTAACCCTTCTCGCGCGCAGCACCCTTGAGAGTGCGGAGCGGGACAGGGATTGCGGCGGAGGCAGTGGGCGCGGCGGCGCTGGTGCCGCCGCCCTCCAGTCGGCGAAGCTCAGCCTCCTCGATGACGTCCACGTCTGCTGCGATCCTCTGACCCGCCCTTGGCATGGCGGAGAGGCGTAGGTGGGCAACAACAAGCGTGCCTGCGATGTGGGGTTGTTGGGCTCCTTTGGCGGATAGGAATCCTTGGCGCGTGTGTGTGTGTGTGACACACGAATCCTACGTGGTCTGTCGCGCGGAAACGAGAATGGCGAAATCAGGGGCTTTTGCGCGGCCAAACAAGCACAACCTATGACCTGATTTTGTATGAGGTCTCTGTAGTCTGAGGGCCCAACAGGAGAATCGTGCTTTTTGGGTTGGGTTGGGTTGTGGGCCTGGATTGGATTGTTCCGCGTAAAGGTTGGGTCCTCGGCGCGAAGGGTGAGGCTCGACCGCCGCCGCTCACGCCAGCGGACGGCCACCATCGGTGTTTTTGGCTTCGCCACCATCCAAGGCGTGCGCCATGCGCTCGCCGACATCGAGCGAGCACGCCTGTCCGACGAGTGGCTTGCTGTGTGGACGCCTTCTTGTGGCTCTCGCCGAGAGCGTTTTGCGTCCCGGCGGGTGGGAGAGTATGTGATAGGAACGAGTGTATCGCTTTGACAGGATCGACCGTGCTTGCTATCAAG